ATGAAAGAAAGAGGAGCAGACCCAAGCCTGAGGTAAATCAGCCAGCATAGCTCCATTCCAGTCAATGGAGCTGTGCTAATTTACATCAACCAGGGATCTGGCCCAGAATCGGTTTCTTGCCTTTCGGATTGCTCTATGATAATGTTAATAGTATTAATACTAATTTTGACAAATTACAAACAACAACAGGTAAAAACACCAGCTTCATTAAGAACACATGTATCCAGGGGTCCTATTTAAAAGGAAGGGGAAAAGTTCTACATCTGGACTCAACATTAAAAATAAAAAACTTTTTTTCTGAAGGTAGGTTTGAGTGAGAGGATGGGAGTGGGGCGGAGGGCGGGGAGGGAGAGAAGAGAGGCAGAATCAGATTGCAAGGAGGAGGATGTCCTACCCCCTGTAACCCACTGCAGCAAATACATGATCACCTGCTGACTTCAGACCCAAGGGTGAAAACCATAAGAGGTGGGTCGTGTGAGGGCAAAACACACAGCAAAACAGTGCTCAGAAAGTAAGCCTTGAATGCAGCCAGGCCCTGCTCACCATCAGTAGCTTTAATAGGCACCACGTGCCTATCTTATTCCAAATGGCTAATTTTCATTTATTTGTTATGAATAATTATAATGCCTTCTGACACCTCCTATTCCCCATATACAAGCCTATCCCCAAACCGCAACAGTGTGTAAAAGTTTGCCATCGCGTCTCCATTAAACTGTATTCTCTCCGCCTGCCACTGATAATGCACTTCAGATCATTCATTGATGCAATATATTTTCCAGGATAGGTTTTTTGTTTTCTCTCTTGGCTGCTCACCCTCTTCTGTGGTCAGTTTTGCTCATTTCTCTTGTAGGCTGTCTAGAAGCAGAGAAAGGCTTTTAGTTTTAAGCAGTTCTCTTTTCAGCCTCCCCTTATTGAATTCCAACCTCCATTTTTTTTTTTAAACATAGGAACATCATTTATCTTGGACTTTAAGTTGCAGAGGCCTTCAAGGGGCTCCTTTTTTTCTTTCCCAGCTGCATTTGTTGACACACAGTCAATCTGTTTTTTGCCTTCCTTCCCCTTTTTCCCCCCAGCAGGCCATAAAGTATCGACAGCTGTGCCCTTTATTAGCATAGCCATTCTAAACACAACAAGGGGGAAGAGACTAAATATATTACAGCCATTACCTCTGTCAAAAAGTGACAATTTTAAAACATTTCGGCTTTTCACTGGGAAAGCTAGCAGCACAAAAGAAAGTGCTATAATTTTATTGTAAATGCTTTTTAAATATGGGTCACTTGGCCATAATCAGGAGAAAGGATGGAAAAGTTCAAAGCTTGAGAATAGTTCAGGCTGATATCAGAATTTTTTTTTTAAAGGCTTGTCTTTAAAATATGCAAATTGGACAAAATACAACAGTGAGAAGCATGCAAACTAAGATCTTGTTCCTGGAGGTTTTGTTTTCAGTACAGCTCTGTTCATGTATTTCCATTTACTTATAAGTGTGTTTTACAACTTGGATGGGAATTTTTCCTCCCCAAACAGAGTGTTATGAATGTTTGGACATTAAGAAATAAAGAGGGGAAAATAGCCAGTCTTCTGTTTTC